GGCCTTCTGGTCAGGGGTAAATGAAATGCATTTTATAAATAATTATTAGTAGTTGTACAGGATATCTATTGCTACTGCATCCGCTTTTATAGCAGGAAACTAATTATAGGTTGAACTTCTCTAGTCTGGCACTCTGGGGACCTGAATGGTGCCGAACCAGAGAATTTGCCAGGCCATTGGAAGTCAGTGTTGTCTAGCAGCATTACCAACACTTGCACTGCTTACTGTGCTCTTAAAAGACATTTAGGGTTAAATTAGAACTAAATAACAGCACAGAACAGTGAGAGCCAGGTCTGGTGGCTGTAAACAAACTTTATGGAACTGCGGGAAACTTGGCCACACTCATGATAAGTGGACATCCGGCTAACTAAAATCATGCTGCACCACGGATGTTGCCACAGTAGTGTGTGCCAGACTAGAGAGGTTCAACTTGTACTCATAGTTACAGCCACAATTATGTAATAAATCTGTTCGTATCTGGATATTTACTTACAGCTTGAGCCTCCAGCCAGGAGTGCCATTTCAGATCTGTGCATGTCGTGATGGGGGAGAGTGAGAGCATGAGGTGGCAAACTGAGGGCAGTGGATTCTGCAGTGTTAAGACTCATCTAGACTACGCCGAAGTGCCAAAAGAGGATATTTGCATATCTCCCTCTGATCTTACTTTCAAAAGTGGAAATAAAATGAGGTTTACGCGTCTTTACGGAAAAGGGGAGGAGGGTTTCGCTGAAAAAGCCGTGTCCAAACTACTTTAACTTTTGAAAGTTCCGCTTTCGAAAGTGAGATCGGAAAGATATGCAAATTCCCACGGAATTTGCATATCCTCTTTTGGCACTTTGGCATAGTCTAGATGATCCCTTACTGAGCATGCTCCTGGCAAACAGAAGTTAAGGACACCATCCCAACCCATTCTATCAAGGAGCCATTGATGGATCTATCCTCCTTGAACTTATTTTGTTCTTATTGGAACCCTGTTATAGTGTGGTCCTTTCCACCATCGCCTGGCAAAGAGTTCTATAAGTTGACCATAAAAAAAATAATTTGTTTTGTTTATTTTAAATTTGCTGCCTAAAAATTTCATTGGGTGAGCTTCCTGTGTTATGTTACTGAAGGAATAAATAATATTTCCTTATTCTATTTTTTTACACCATTCATGATTTTCTAGACCTCTAACATATCCCCTCACCCTTTAGTCATTTCTTTTCCAAGCTGAAAAGTCCTAGCCTTGTTAATTTCTCCTTATATGGAAGCTTACCCCTAATCATTTCTGTTGCCCTTTCTCTACCCTTTTCCAAATCTAATATATCTTTTTACAGATCTTCATGCAGTATTCAAGATGTGGGCATACCATGATTTTATATAGAGGCAATATGATATTTTGTCTTATTACCTATTCCTTTCCTAATGATTCCCAATATTCTGTTGGCTTTTAAGACTGCCACTGTACATTGAGCAGATGTTTTCAGGGAACTATCCACAAATGATTCCAAAATCTCTTTCTTGAATGGTAACAGCTATTTTAGACCCCATCATTTTTGTATGTATAGTTGGGATGATTTTATTCCATGTGCATTACTTTCCATTTATCAGCACTGAATTCCACCTTGTGTTGCTCAGACACCGAGTTTTGTGAGATCCCTTTGGTAACTCTTTGCAGTCAGCTTTGGACTTAACAATTTTGAGTAATTTTGTATCATCTGCAAAATTGCCACCTCACTCTTTAAACTTCTCATAAATGTTCTCAAAAAAAGGATAACAGCAGTGGTTCAAATGCAGATCTCCCCCCCCCCCCCCCCCCCCCCATCTTTTAAGTGGAGTACCCAGCAATGTTTTCATGATGATCTAATGATCCTTCAACTATTTGAATGACAAGCCTTTTGCTATCTTAATCACCCTGCCTCCCTCTGTCTTTAAACAAACTCCCTGCCCCAAAAGCAAAACTGGGGGCAGCACAAACTCTGTTGCAGTTAGGAGCTGCCTCTAGAGCTAAGGCATGTGCTTTAAGAAGACCTTAAGTATGAAATCCAGGGGTTCAGATTTTAGCGGGGTGGTACTGATCCCTACCTCCTGGTAAATGGCACCCTTGCCTCCAGTATGCTGAGTTATCTAGCCTCAAACCAGCAAAGCACTTGAATACATTTCAGTCTGTTTCAGCAAAAATAATGAGTCCTGTGGCATCAGGCCCACCAATGAGGAAAAGAGGGAAGTTGCCCTGGGGCCCAGTGATTTAAAGGAGCCCAGGGCTCTCAGCTACTGCTGCAGCAGCAGTGGCAGCAGACAGAGCTCCTGGCTCTTTAAATTACATAAGAACGGCCATACTAGGTTCAGACCAAAGGTCCATCTAGCCCAATATCTTGTCTTCTGACAGTGGCCAATGCCAGGTGCCCCAGAGTGAATGAACAGAACAGGGAATCATCAAGTGATCCTACCCCTGTCACCCATTTCTAGCCTGTGATATTTTTGGTTTGCAACTATTCTTCAGAATTCTACTTACTGATTCAGATCTTGCAATAAATTTTCAGTGGGCCAGTCCTGGAATTCTTTACTCAGTTCTTAACATTAATGTACTTTAAATTAACAGGAATTTTACCTGAAAAAGTACTTTGGAATGTCACGCAAAGATTTCTGACAACGCCTTGATGGGAATTGAGGATGCACTACCTACACTGGGTACAGGCACCAAATAGTAGAATTGCCACCAGAGTGCTGCGCTGTGTGCTCTAGATGGTTCTCTAAGGGCTGGCTTCCCCTGGTCCCGCCCCTACAACTGAGGCCCCACCTCTTCTGGAAGTGCATAGCTGGCTTCTCCACACACCTTGCCCTGGGGCCCGTGGAGGCTCTCAGCTCCCCTGTGTGGCACCTTAAAGATTAACAAATGTATGCGGGCATAAGCTTTTGTGGGCTAAAATCCATTTCATCAGATGCATGCACCAAAAGTGAGTGCACTTCCTTCATGATTTTTATATATAAGAATATAATTTGCAAGTTTGTCAAGCAATGAAAGATAGTATATTTTGACATACTAATCCAGTAACTAATCAGTTTTCTAATAAACAATCAGCAATACACTAATGTGTCATCAGCATTTCAGAAGCTCTGGAGAGAGGATGATCTGCACATAGACGTTAATGAATACACCAAAAATCATTAGACAATCAATACTTCTGAGTTATTTTCATTGAGCTGATAGGTCTGATACATTAACGCTGACATTTTACATTTGTCAAGATCACAGTGCAGTTTTTAACAGTAGAACAGGCTGCTAAAAATATTCCCAGAAAGACAATCAAAGAAACACAATGTATGACTGTTGATGTTGTAGGCTGGTACAGTAGCTCAGATGAATGAATGAGTAATATCTGTGTCCTGGATTTCTAAACAATTTTTTTTCTAAAAATTACTTGCACGTAGAACATACCATAATTATGCATGTGTGTACCTTCTTACTCATTTTGTAAGTGGCAAATCCTGTGATAAATCATCTTCAGTAATTTATATTGGTTCTTTCCAGACTACTGTACTGCTTTCAGGAGTCTGATTTGTCTTGTCTACCTCCAAGTTTCACCTCACTTAAAAATTGCTCACTTACAAATTCAGACATAAAAATACAAAAGTGTCATAGCGCACTATTACTGAAAATGGATTATGTTCTCATTTTTACCATATAATTATAAAATAAATGAACTGGAATATAACTATTGTGTGCACATTTCAGCATATAGTATTTAAAGCAGTATAAACGTGTAATTCCCTGAATGAAATTTTACTTTGCTAGTGCTTTCTATGTTGGGTGTTGTAAAACTAGGCAAATTGCTAGATAAGTTTATGTACCCAATGAAGACCCCTGCTTAGCCCCAGGGGTATGTGTACCTCTGGTTGAGAACCACTGATTTATGTTACTGAGGAGAGAAAGATGGATACAAGGTAACAGACCATTGTTTTCCTCACTTTTTGAAGAAGGGGAATTAATTCATTATAGTAATGAAGATAAAACGTCACACAACTCCATTACACTAACGGTGGCTTTCTGAGTGAGAGCCTTACAATCAAAAATCTGATGTATTCTTAGCTCACTGTGCAATCTTATCTCGCATTCAGAATGCTCATTAAGAGGACACAATCTGTGAAGAAGTTGATATTAGATACAGAGTGGATTCTCTTTTGAAAAATCTGATGTATTCTTAGTTCACTGTGCAATCTTATATTAGATACAGAGTGGATTCTCTTTTAGTAGAGGGCCAGATGATTTATTCTGAACGAGAAATCTGAACCTTTTCCTTTCATATCTTAATTCTCTCACTATTTTGCCAAAGAGGGAGAGAGGCTAGGGAAAAGACTTAAAAGATAAAGAAACACATTCTTCTGATTTTAGGAGTTCTTCCTCTCCCCCCTCCCCCCCTCCACCACCACTGTAGCAAATGCTGTGGATGTTTTCAGACAATTGATTAACAAGTACTAACCCTACCAGACTGTTTAAAGTAAAGCCAACTATATAGTAAAAGATAAATACGGCATTTTTCTCTTGTTATTACACTAAGCAATTACTGCCCTACAGCTTCTCTTCTTCCAATAGGTGAATTTCTGATTTTTAAATTAGCAGAAGGTGAAATTCTATTTGTCATCAATTTCTCCTCAGGGGCTACAGAGCAGAAAACTGCAGCCAAGCTGCTGCTTTGATGGCTCACTCCTAAAAATCTCTTTTTGTTCTTTATCTATTTGAACTGACAGTGATCAGAGCTACAGCAGGACAGGCCTCTCTGGAGAAATCACCTTCCCCCTGTCTATTGACAGATTCCTCTGTTCTGAATCAGACAGGCCTTGTCCGATCATAGGCATCAAGGCCTTGGAAGTAGCCACCAATTAAACCTCTTGAGCCGGTAAAATCTGAAGCCACTTTTGAGTGTCTGTTCTGATTAGGCAGAATGCGACAAAGCCCATCACTCCCCACCTCCCCTGAAGAGCAGCTCCCCGGTCTCAATTTTCTCTCTTGCCTTCACCAGGTGCGAGAGGTGTGAGAGGAGCTTCACACAAGCCACCCAGCTGAGTCGACACCAGAGGATGCCCAATGAGTGCAAGCCAATAACAGAGAGCACAGAATCAATTGAAGTGGATTAACTGATTGACTGGTTGGAATTAAACTGCAAGGAAAGTCATGATTAAATGTCACGGACACTTAAGCAAAACCAAAGATTTCCTCTGAACAACTTTCAATCAGTCCCAGAAAACCAAAAGCAGTAATAAAATAAGTAAGATGTTAAGAGATATTGATCCTGGCATGGAAGTAAGACCAGGAAAGAGATTATTTATTTATGACTAGGGATGAGACTTATTTCAATGGACAAATAACCTGGGATGGCTAACATTTCAAGTCCCACCATGTATTGCTTTATTTCTAAAAGCCTTTATAATTGTTATTTAATACCAAAGCAAGGAATCTCACGGGTTCTTCTGCCTATAGTTATGACTGCGAATGCACATGGACTTTATTGTTGCACCTTTTTTTGGAGCATGACTCAAAGGACCCAGAAATAGTCCTTATATTTGGTGGGGTGGGTGGGTTTTGACATGGCTATAACAGAAATTCTTGTGTCTGAATGGTGCAATGGAAAGTGATCTAGAACCATATCTGAATCAGTGCCCCATTTCTCAGACCAAAGGTCATTTTATTTTCATGGTTCCAGACCTTACATTTTTTGCATACTTTTCCATGTACAGTTAGACAGTTTTGTCCTGTCACAAAAGTTCCAGGAAAAAACAAACCAGAAATATTTTGCATATCTATAGATATACAGTTGTGTAAGACTACCACTACGGAAAATAATGTGACACTAGAGCTTTGAAACACAATATCACTGTTTAGAAGGAGAAAGTGTTTTCACTCAAACTCTAATGTTAATAAACTCTCTGTTTGAAAGTCGTACAGTGAGAAGCAAACCAAAAGAGATTAGGTTTTATTTGAATGCACAGATATTTGTACCTTATCAGCTCAGGTTCGTTTGAAAGCAATCCCAGGTCACTTGAAACTTTCAATTCAACCAGTTTCAAAATTGTAACAAAACCTGAATTCAGGTGTCCTGCATGTATTCAAGTGTCACTGCAGTTACTTTAGAGAGCTCTACCTAATTTTCATTTAAGCCAAGAGCTTAATTCCCATTAATGCTGAAGAAAAGATGTCATCATAAAGATATATATAGGCAATAATATCAAGTACTGAATGTATATGAACATGGAAAAGGCTAAACTCCTTTAGGCTATGTACTTTCTGAACTGCCACTGCTAATGCGATGTGCTTTTATTGGCAGTTGCACACATTAGGTGAAATCTCGCCCCATTGGAGGCAATGAAAATTTTGCTGTCAATTCAGTAAGTCCAGGCTTTTATCATTAATCCTTAAAGCACTTGGGATTAAAACTATATCCCTTTTGAACCCAGTTCATATTTTTTTAAAGTAAATGCTTGTGTGATTAAGTCCTTTGTGGATGGGGGGGTATTTGTTGCATCTTATTCACCTTCAAAGAAAGGGCCAGTCTCCTGAGCTGGTAGGCACTGGTGCAACCGTCATATCGTCTCCTCAAATATTAGGCAGCGCACCTTCATCAGTTTAAGGGCTTCTATTCAAAAAACAGATTGAGCAAAACATTGCCTTTTTAAATCAAATACCACCAAGCAGGACTTCTCACCTTTCTTTCCACACGGCTCTGTTGATGTTTCTATGTGTTATTCTAAGACGGTAAAAAAGATGAGCGCAGAGTAACTTCCTACCATTATTTATAAATACAAAGGGTGAATCCTGGTCTCACTGATGTCAATGTCAATATACCTGCTAAGTCCATGATTTTACAGTACACAAGCTTTCTTTAGCAGCTAGCTGCACATTGGAATACCACTAGGAAAATGGTACTTCAGTGCTTGTACACATAGGAATGCAGGATTCCAGTGCTGAAGGAAGGAGAATTTAGGAAAAAAAGGAGGTGGTATTGGCAAATGACGGGCAATAAGTTGATAGAAACACAGCCCACTCCTAGGTCTGACCTATCTTTTGGTGCTAACATTTTGTTTTTGTTAAAACTCTTGCAATTATGATTGTATTTTAAGAGATGACTGGTCATTTGTAGCCATGTGTTCTTCCTGTCTTATTGCTGGCAATAGTATACACACCATAAAAGTTCACAGACAAGATACTGTGTACTGTGTGTGTGTTAGCTTTTATATTATTTTTTACCATTTCAGCCATATTGGTGCGGCCTTGCAGTAAGGGTTGTCTAAAATATTCACAGCGTCATTTGAAAACCTCAACAATTCTTTAGATGTGTTCAATTTAACAAAAAAGTCTAAATTTTCTGGGCAAATTTTCACTAAAAATAGTCCTTTTTGAAGGGTCAACCTTGACATGTTTTAATTTCAGAATTTTAATAAAAGCTCAATTTTCACATTTAATTTTAAATGTTCTCCATTTCATTGTGAACACTGCAATTTTAAGAAAATGATTGAGAGGAGAGCTGGGGGTACAGGGAAGAGAGATGTCATGAATGCAAAATTGCAATTTTGTTGTGTGAAATTTTATGAAGAAAAATAGATTCATTCTGTTTGTCTGGTCCTATTTCCCAAGTTGTTTGTAGGTACTCAATTATAAAATCAGAAAGTAGCAGAAATTTAGTAAAAAGGCATGTTCCACGTGAGTTTTCCAGTCCTGTTTCTATACCAAAGATATTTGGATAAACGTGAGTAAAATTCCAACTTTATGGATGCTTATTCGGATTTATCCTTTACCTTTTTTGCAGTTCTAATATAGTATTCATTTGATTTTTCTATGGGATAAAAGCAAAGTAACACAGATAAGTAGGTATCAAATATTACAATTTAGAGGTCAGAAATTAGGCATTTCAGAAATTAGGTTTTATTCAAATGAGTGATTGGCTTAAGCAGCAAAGTACAGAACCAAATCTGTATTATCTTAACATTTGGGAGTGTTTGGATTGGGCCCATCATCTCTATGTAAGAGAGATGGAGATCAGGATAATTTCTAAACCTTTTAGCTCAGCTCTGTGATACCACGATGTGCACACATTACTCTAGCTTAGTAAATCATATGATACAATCCCAATATAATGCAACAGTCCTATTAAATCTTCAGAGTAAAATTCTCCTGGCTTTTGTAAATTATGAATGCAGAGATTAGTAGTTTTTTCATCAAAGTTAGGTAAGAAATGAGATCTGCTAAATTGACAGGCAAATGGGAGCTATGTGTTGTATCAGCAAACTATGTCTTTGTGTTATCGAAGTATTCACTCATTTTTCTACAATTTGAAATAAGTTCTAGTTCAGACCACTCAGTACCACATAGGATCAGGACATGCTTTGCAGTAGTTATAAGGGCCTGTGCAGAAAAGCACTTAAACAGCTTAAAGATGTGCATAACTCCATTGCTATAAAGTGATGGCCTTAACCATGAGTTTAAAATTGTGCTAAAGTGCTTTTCCTGAATATGGCCCAAAAGATTTGAAGACTAACTTCTTTCATTTAGGCATTTGCTGGGATTTGTTTTTAAACATACCAGTGAAAAGCATATTTTTGCAGGAATAATTTTGTAATTCCAAAGGACATTTTTTAAAATTTGCTTACTGTATTCACTATGTTGTGGCTGATTTGCAAGCACATTTTTAATTGTTGCATTGTCGCTTTACTAAAGACACTTTCATAATATAATTGGCAGCATACAAATGCAATTCAGTGCAAAAAAATTTGATTTCATGTGTTTTCAGAGTGAATGTTTTGCTCTCTGTGCAAATAGAGTGTATTCTATTACAATATAGTAAATGTAAAATCACCCTTGAGAGTATTGACAAGCAAAACGCATCCTGAATTGAACGAAATACAATCTAGTTGCTTTCTACTCTTACTGAATCTTGAGTGAGTTTCTTTTCGGGTATTGATGGAGTAATTACGCTTTTGGGTCCATTAAGAATATATTCTTACATGCTCGAATGCAGTGAATTAAAACAGTTAGCAAGGTATGATTACCTCAAACAATAGTAATTCTGTGCCTATCATTTCTGGATTTCTGAAATTGTTGAGATTTCCAATTTGAAGTTTGGTAAATATGGACAAGTACTCTTTGAATACTGCCGAATCCAAAATCTTTTATGATTCATTTAAAATTGTATGTATTTCTAATGTTCACATACACAGAGTGAAGTCTCTCTCTCTCTCTCTCTCACATCTACACACACACACACACACACACACACACACACACACACACAGACCTCTCAGAAAATCTTCAGGCACTCTTAAGAAATCGCAGTTGACAAATAACATGAACTTTTTAGATATCAAAATGCATAATTTCCTTTTCGGAGGGAAAAAACAGAGCTTTGAACCATGTAACAATTACAGCACATTAGATACTGAAACCTAAAAGGCTCTGATGTTTGGTATACTTCTCTCTTATTTTAAATTGTTATATATCCATTGTATGGTGCCATTAGGATGTATGATGTGCCAAACAGATGTGGTTTCTAAACAATAACTATTTGAAAATAAAAAAGCAGTGAGTCCTCACTACTTTTACAAGTTATTTATTGCTATGACTTACTTTAAATTTATCATTAGTGCTCTTTTTTGTTGCATCCAAATACCGTGTGTATGTTGCCATAAAATAAAACATTTTGAGATTGTGCTGTCTTTTTCCTCTGATTTGTCTCATTTTTTAAAAGTTAGACATCATCAATCCAATCTACAAAAGGGCAAATAGTCATGCAGTAAGTGTACAGTATGCTGGAAGGGTTCTCTGTTGTAATAAGAATAATAATGACACTGTACTTAGAATGGTAAACAGCTTGCTTGCATTTTTTAAACTTCATAAAATTGCGTCTTTTTTTTTTTTTTTTACTGCAAAGGACCAATTAAGTCATGCATGTAGCTGTATTCTTGTGATATAAACTGTAAAGATTACCATTGTGTTTAAATGAAAAAGGCACACATTTAAAGACAAGACAAAGAAATGTAAATATATTTGATTAATAAAACATTTCTATTATTAAGGCCTATATCTTCCTTTTTGTTCATAATTATGCTTTGCAATATTCTTTGTGCAATCATTTTTATGATACTACTGCATGGGTTCTCCTACTGGATACTGCAAACTGGACTGAGCTGTAATGGCCTCTTTTTCTTCCCTTTTATTATAGCTAGGTGTGAAAGGAAAGGGATCCTCAAACTGATTTTATGTTGTAACCTGAGGTCCAAGTATGAAAAAGTGAGAACTGCTTCCCTACAATATTGTGTAGCTGTTTTCCTATTTTGTAATACAAATAATTTTGCATTTTAATCTACTTTTCTTATTCAAATTGCATGATTTTTTAAATCTCTCAGAGCTTTAACCTTCACTGTGTATTTACCTGAGCCCCGACTTACAAGGATCACCATCTAGTGGCCTGAAACAGAATTTCAGTCCTCCACATTTATCTGATATGTGTGATATGTCTTCTAAAATATTTCTAAGGTACTAACCATGTTCTGATGCAATGGACCTTTTCTGCCTTTTGTAACATGATTTCACTGAAGTCATATATGTCAAAGAATAATGATTATTTCACTAAGTCCCCTTTGTTCCACTTGAAAAAATACCACTTGAGTATGAGAAAAATGTCACTTTTTGTTATTTTTCATGTTATATGACCTTTTATGTAAGCACCAGAGTCACCACGGTAGAATAATTGTGCAAAACTACTGTACTTGAGAAAATATTCAGGTAATTGGCCAGCAGGCTGCCTGCTGATTTGCAAGTAGCATGGATAGTCAATCTTCCAATACAAACTTCTATATATGCCAGGAAACTTCTTTAAAACAAGAAATTATATTGAGTCATGCTGCATGAGATTCTATCCCCCCAAACACTGTAATCTGTCAGGAGCTAATGAGACACAAATGTTTGAAAGGGAAGTTGGGAGGGAGTCCTTTGGGCTGGTGATCTAATGATAGCTTGGTAAGACATTTAAGGTTGATTCCTGGGTCCACCTCATTCTCTTTGTTGTGAGTTATTTAATGGTGGTGAGTCTCAAGTCTCTTAATGGCCAGCTCTCAATTTTAAAAAAAAAGTCCTTTGGTGAATTTGTTTTTGGTGTTAATCTGAGAGCTTCAGATAGTGAAGTTTAACCGAGGAGTAACTTTGACACACACACTCCACTCCCAACATGGCTTAGCTGTGTACTGAAAAATCAACTCTAGGGCCAATAGTAAAGGAACCAGAATTAACAGAATAATTGCAACAAATAATAAAAAGGTAACAACATTGAGACTTTAGTTGCACCACTTAGGGGAATTATGCCTTACCCACTGTAACCAGTTCATTAGGGACTACTGAAAAAAATTGCTAGGCTTTATGAATGATGTACAATTAGGTAGATTGCATTCTCCACTGTGTATAACAAGAACTATAGTGAATTGGCAAGGTGTTAAACTGTGTAAACAGATTCTCTGTAGCACAATTCATAATTTGGAATCAATGACCACTGAATCCTATTTAAGGCTTATGTTAGTCAAAATAAACCTGCTCATTGTCTGGTTCTATGAATTGTGGTAAGGCCCCTTCTTTCCCTTGCCTGCCTCTGCACCTCTCCCCCATGGCCTCAGATAAAGCACCCCCATCTGTTGTGTCTGGGCAGTCAGCCTTCTCCTTAGCTTAAAACAGGGGAGGGTTTTAAAAGGTGTCAGGCAAACCTGAAATGGAATCAGCTGATCCATGGTAGCCCTGTCTCAACTGATCTTAATCTGCCTGAGAGAACACTTTTTAGCTGATCCTGACTGACCTGCAGTAATCCACTTCTAGTTAATTGGGAACTAGGCCTTTTACCCTTCTAGGTAAGCCATCTGACCTGGCTTTGTCACAATATATTTCGTTTAGGGTGTCATTACCGATATTAGATACCGACACTGCAATGTAGTTCATTCCACGTATTACCTGGAATATAGCTTCTACAAGGAAACTGTCTCCACTAATCACTCGACAACACAGACCTGGAAGGTCTCCCTAGCCAAATTGCAAGCTGGCAATCCCAAAAAGGGACAGGGAAATCCCAATTAATGATATGCCAGGATTTGCTGGTCCATTCAGTTCACCTGACACAGAAACACTCCTGATGACATTTTTAGGAGCTTACATAACACACTATAAAGGAAACCAGGGCCTCTCTTCATGAGACTGCACCTGTGAAGTAATGCTAGCAGACTACAATTTTATAAACAATCAAAATAAAGTGAGATTTAGAGTAGGGTGAGATGAGAGACTAAATGCTCCCGTGATACCAAGGCCATGCATTAAAACATTAAACCTTTATGACACAAAATGTGGGTTCAAATCACAGAGGGGGGATTCTATAACTCTACATACTAGTTGAGTGTGATCTAATGGCACTTAAAAGAGAAAGATTTAATGAAGGTCCTGCAGTGAGCCGGAGCTAAGGCAGCTTTACCAGACAGCTTTAAAGGCAGCAGCAGTCCTTGATAGTAATGCAACTCAGCTTCAGGAAATTGTGTGTCCAAGGCATACTGC